CACCCTATGTCTGACTGTGTCCCTTGCTGGAAAGCACTTATAGTGAATCGTTTCATCCTTGTTTAACGTAAGCAAACAACAAGGACGTATGATTCACTGTGTTACACTGTGTCTGACTGTGTCCCTTGCTGGAAAGCACCCATAGATAGTAGAGGACACGTAAGTAAGTAATTTTCTTTATAAATCATGAGCATAAATTACAGACGTTTCGACATCATTAGGTGCGTTCGGCAATGTAAATCTGAGATGCGAGCTAGCAGTTGGCGAGCAGCGTGATCACGTGATCTTCGAGCAAACCGAGCATAAAAGTTAATGTCGAACGATTCTGAGATGTCATCGCTATTTCATTCTTTAACCTCAAAAGTAGGTTTATTAATGTTATTAACGTTAAATATTAATTAGATATATATATATAAATCTATAAATAATAAGAAATAAATAAAAAATAAATAAAAATGTATATAAATGTGAATTAGCTGTATAAGAATTATGTTAATTATGTCAATTGTGAACATAAAGAATTGTTATAAAATAAAATTAATTGAATATATTATATAATTATATATACACTAGGAACAAAATGAATAATGCAGGAATTGGCTTAAAATAACACCGAATACGTTTGAAGAATTGCTCACAAAACTTCATAGCATTGAAGACAATAATATAAATGTTGGATGCAAACCTCTTCCACTTATAAAACAATTAATGATTACCATTTGGTATTTATCAAATATTGAATCTTTCCGGTAAGTTTTCATGATAAATTACTGATATAAAATAAATTATTTACGGTGCAAACAAAACTTCTTTATTTTCTTATTCCTATTTTTCTTTTTAGATCAGTAGCTGATCGCTTTGATATCAGTAAAAGTACTTGTTGGGATATACTTTATAGAACATGTAAAAGTCTTTTAAAAGTTAATACCACATATAAAATTATATCATGGCCAAATAGAGAACGTACTATAACAATAATGAGACAATTTCAACAAATTAACGGGTTTCCAAGTAAATAATAACTAAAATTTTTCATTTGCTATTTTTCATTTACTATTTCGAATGTTTAAGTCTAATCTTTCTTTAGGAATTATTGGAGCTATCAACGGATTGCATGTCCGTATATTAAAACCAAAGAATCATCCAAATTCTTACTGCAACAGAAAAAATTACCATTCTGTACTTCTACAAGGAGTCTGCGACAGTGAAAGATTATTTCTAGATGTCTATGTTGGGGAACCTGGATCCATTCACGATATGAGATTATTTAAGAAGTCTGATTTATATGCAAAAATAAAAAATTCATCAATTGATTTTCCTAATGATAGTCACCTAGTGGGAGATTTGGCCTATCAGTTATCTCCATATCTTCTAGTAGGTTTCAAAGATGTTGGTGGGTTAACTAATGGAGAAAAAAATTTTAATAAAAAATTATCACAATGTCGTGTGAGAATAGAGAATGCTTTTGCATATTTAAAAGGACGATTCAGACGCTTAAAGTATCTTGAAACAGTTAGATTAGATTTAATTTGTCTATTGATAGTATCCGCATGTATTATGCACAACATCAGTATTTTAAATGGAGATTTACCTGAGGAACTTGTAGACAATATGGAGGTAAGGGATATAAGAGACTATGAATTTATTGCAAACATAAATGAAGAAGAAGGAAATAATGCAGGCATATTGAAAAGAAGAGAAATTATGAATATTCTTCCAATATAAATATGGGAAATATGGAATGAATAAACATGCTTATACAGTTCAAACATATTAATTATTTTATTTATGAACTAAATTTATAATGTAGTTTATTTATATATATCTATATAAACTAAAAGTTACACAACATAAATAACGTTTAATTATTAAATGATAATATTGGAAACTTAAAACAAAAACATCAATTTTAGACTAAGACTAAGTTTGTTCTTTATGCTTTCGTGCTGAAAGCATCATTCTATCTTTCGAAATTATGCTTTTAGCACGAAAGAGTAAAATAAATTTAACATAGACTGCTTTATCACCATTAAAACAAGTACTTCGATATTAAATCAATGTAAATAAAACATAAAATATTACATATCTGATAGAAATTTCAGTCTTGTTGAGAACAGAAAAATATTTACAACAGTCTGTTCAACTTATTGTTAGAACTTTCCTTTTAATAATTAAGTAATATATGAATAACATGGCTAATGTGCATATATACATATATTATATATGAAACAGAAAAAATATTAATTGCACATTTTGATAACGATAAAAGAAAAGAAACTCAAAATCACAGTGTAAATTCCGGCGAATTGCGGCAGACTGATACTTATAATAGGCATATGCTCATTGCATTCCGATGAATAAAAAGAACTGACTGAAATAAAACTAATATAAAATAATCAACTTTCTTTTAGGTAATTAAAAATAATTAAATGATTTTGTAGGATTAATGGCCTCACTAGAAGTAAGAAATATTCACTCATTGTTGCTATTCTTCTTATCTCGAAATATTCCGACATACTCATTGAAACATTTTAAGAAGTCATCCTGTCTTTGCATTTTCTCCTGATGTCTTCTTTCTACAGCATTACCTATTGATGAACGTTTTTTCTTAAAAAAGTCAGTTGCACATGTGGATGAAGATTTTCTCTTATTGTCACAGGAATATTTGTCATCTGTGATATTTTCTTCATCTTCTGTACTTTTATCAGTACCACTCGATTCTTTATTAACCATCAATCCTTTCGTATTACTGCAAGTAGCTACAGGTGTAATTTCTGGTTTGTTATGAAGCATTTCATTCATTACTTCAAAATATTCCCATCTTTTTCGATTTCTTCCAGATGATGAGTTGTGTTCTTTGATATCTTTATATATTTTTAATAAGCCTTTCTATTTGGTGTCACATTGCTGCCATGTAATTGAAGTATCCAAATCAATGGTCAAAATTTTGGAGATTTTCATCCAAATATGTTTTTTTATTGAATTTTGAAATTGTTCTTCAAATTCTTCAACTAGATTTATTAATCTCAAAATAGACTCATTTGTCCAAATTTTCTTCTCATGTTTTTGAACTTCATCTTCACGTTGTTCTACAAAATTTCTTTTATTTTCTCCCTCTGATAATTGTATAGATTCATAAGTATCATCTGTAAAAGCAAAAAAAATTATAAATTTCTGAACATTTATTTGTACAGTATAAGTAAATTATTGATTTAATTAGTCTCTATTACGCAACAAAATGTTTTATTTAGAAAATTTTAAGAAATCTTTTATATTTAAGACATAATCTCCATAAAACTTCCAAAAAAGAAATAAAAACTTACCATTTTTTTTATAGAAATATTTGTCACCAATTTGCACTATTTCGCGAAGTTCGTTGTTTACTACAAACATTTTGATCATTAGAAAGCGAAAAATAAAACGTAGCTTAATACTCGTACGGTGAACGTCACACTACAAATTTCTAAAGCAGCCAATTAATAAGTAGGTTATGTTGAAATCGGTAATTTATAATTTTCGCGGGCAAACGAACATTTCTCTGTGAGCTCGACCTTTGAATCCAGAGCAAATTGAGGAGCTTGATTTGCTATAAAAATGCTAATATCGAACACAGATGGGATGATACAGAGCAGAAAAATATGAATTGCCGAACGATTTTCGAGATAAAAGAGCAATCCGACGTCTCCGATTTACAATGCCGAACGCACCTATTATTAAATGTAGGAATAACATTCTAGATATAGTAAGCGTCCCAATGAAATAAAGTAAAGTTGCTTACTATATCTAGAATATGGTTTATACATTTGAAGCAAACACAATAATGATGTCGAAACGTTTGTAATATATATATATACTTATGATTTATAATATATGACATTTTGCAAAAAAACATTTTGTGTTGGCTCACATTGGTAGGGGAAAGTGGGCGAATTGTGCGCAGCGGGTAATTGTGCGCATCCTGGTTTGGTACTTTGCCGATAAATGGAGACATCGCCGTGATGAAATTTTTACGCAGAAGGTCGTCCCATCGACATCTAGAATGGACCGCTGATGGCAATGGTGGGGGTAGAAAGACGATTAGAGT